TATCAACGGCCTCAGGTAGAGCATCGTGATTGTCAGTCACAGGGTGGTTGGAGTGTGGGTTATTTTCAAATAAAAAAAGTCAACGCTGAGCAGAGTGAAGCGCCGTTGCACGTGGTTTGAGAGAGCGTGCCCTCGCCTATCTTCTGGCCAATCCTTGGTCTAGCATGACTTGCGGAACATTCCAAGCAGTACTCGTAAAAATTAAGGGCATCGAGAGCCCTCTCGCGAAATCGGTGTAATATCCATAATAAGTAAGCAGACAACGAGCTGGACCGTTGGCTGAAATTGCAAAGGTTGATGCTACGTCAGGAAATATGTTGCGGATTTTCAGGAGTTCTCCCTAAAATTCTATAGCATTAAATGTAATTTGTTGCAAGACTTATGGACCGACCTAATAAAATTAGGCAGAAATTACCTCGAATAATCCAACAGTAAGTTGCTACGTAAAATAGGCTCAGCTGATCGCTCCATAGGCCACTCGTTTTCGCTGAAGCTCACTTTTAATGCGCGCGGTGGAATGCACAACTTAACTGGTGTGTGACTATGCGTCACCACGCGTCGGATTTCAGGATAATCTAGACGGTTGAATAATATTTGATGCTCACGATTTTGAAATCTGAACACCCAGTAGTCATTATCGTATTTCTCCAAACATCAACCATGTACACTTAAAGGAATCCTTCGCGGAAAATTCTTGCATTCTTTCTTGACATGAATGTGTCAGTTGTGATCACTGGAAACAGCACACAAAGTTTCACGCATGAAGATTCGGTTTCCGAAGAGAAACAAACGTACAAAAACTACACTCTATGGACAATCGAAGGTAATTCGGGCGGAGCCAAAGGCGAGGCATGGAAAGAAGTTGGCCTTTGGCCGGCTACGTATCAGGCGACGCAATGAAAGAATCGGGTTAAAGCGCGCGATTTTGGAGAGTAGAGACAAATCGATCGATAGAATAGGATGGGTAAGTGTAAGATTTTTTTTACCAAAACAAAAGCAATATTTCTGTTCTTTTCATTATCGTGGATAATGAGTCTCAAGCCAGTGATTTATGGCTGAAATAGAATCATGATTTTTCCGTGCAAGATTCCTTTAAGGACTCGGGGCAACTAGTAGCGGTGAGTGGGAGTGAAATGCAAATTGGAAAATTCGAATTGAATAGAAGCGTTTTCTGCAGCTAGAATTAGGGTTATTAGGGGCTCTAAATTTCTCTTGCTGGACTAATCGTTCTATATCACCTTTGGATGGAATTAATACTTTCGAACTGCCACCTATTAATCGTTCCCCATTCTATCTACTCCCATCTGATGTGGGGAACAATCCTCACTGCTGCTGCGGGACACGTGCTGTGGTTTACGTGAATTTTGCATTCGCGGGATTCCAGCTGCGTTGCACATTCGTTTGTCCATCAAAGCATATTTTCCGCCCACTTGCACATATTGAAAAAAAGCGCTCAATTGAAGCGTGAGGCGTGAAGCGCGCCATGAATTACGTGACACACACGCAAAACACAAACAAACAAAGACCACGTTTTATACCAGGTTGCCCAGAAAGGGTCACTTTTTGTGGGGTTTTGTGCATTTCTAAACAAAAACATCGGCAGCTGGTAGCACAAGACAGATCGAGGTTCGAAATAACTGTTGGAGGTTAACTTCTAGTGCGAGGTGACGAACTACAGTGAGCAATTGTTCTCTGCCATTTGAAAGGTCTGGAGTTTGGAAGCCGGTGGAATCCTTGAAGTCTTTTGGTCACTACTGCGCGTACTGGAAGATTGTCTATGCCGAACGGAACTGCGGAGGGGCTATCCGCAGAGCAGGTGGTAGTTGAAGAAGAGGTCCTGTTACAAAACTATGAGTTGAAGCAGAACTGGTTGTATCCAATTTGTTCGGGTTTGGAACGTCAATTAGCGACGTGTGGCCGTTGCTCGACCAAGATCGGGCTCATTGATAGTGATTTCTGAACACTGTCCCAACTTCGCTATCCTTCTGCCGTTTGATCCACTGCTGTATTGAGTTTGGAGGAGCTGTCGGGTATGTAAGGCCCGAAAGTGAAAACCTTACACTTGCATTCACCTTCCGTGTGGAACGATTTGTTGATTTTCTTGTTTATTTTCTCCTGCGGCGAGAGGATGAGCAGTGCGATGGTAGGGAGATGCGAGATGTGACATATTACGCTTAGCGGTTAGGACAAAAAGAAAGCAAGAAGAGGAAAAGTCCAATATAAACAAAGACGAGGCCAAAAGATATTGAATGGTCCTGTCGCGGATGTAGCTAGCTGAACAGGCGGGCAGGATGGACATAAGTGGAGGAAATAGAGCTGAGAATGATTGACTTGCTTGCCAAGCGGTCCGGATTGCTTAGAAAATCTGTTTAAACAAAAAACTAGGAAAACATGTGCACTTATAGGCAGAGCAGCAGGCGTTCCAGCTGCACCTCACATCGACAGATTTGACTCGAGAAGCTCCAGATAGGGGAGGAACGCCGTGTACACTGAACACGCAACAACCAAGCGCTACCCACGACACAGGCCTGCATCAGTCGGCTATGATGCCCACTCGCCACATAAGGGGTCATAGGGCTTACCGAAACTTCGAGACACGGGTATACCGACCACCCTCGTGGAGACGGTAAGCTAGGCGAGCGTCGCGAGTGAGGCAAATGGATGCAGGCGAAAGGTGCACGACGTCCTCTCAATCTCAGAGCACTAGGATGACGACGATAGCTCTAGAATAGGAATCAATTCGCCAGCTGATATGTCTATGAAGGTGTGTTTCGTCGGGTTAGCCCAGAGCAGGACCGCAAAACAAGAAAGCGCAGAGATTTGATAATGATGTTCCCTCGATGCCCACCAGCCAGCATCTATGACTATCCTCTTCGATTGTCACAAAGGATCTAATCCTAGTCGTACGCTACAAAACTCCCAAGACGTGGTCGTTTTTTTTTCTGCGCAAAAGAAGCGCCGACTTCCTCCGACGACCACTCATGCATGTCCAACGCGTAGGAAATCCATCTGTCCAGCTTTCTCTTCCTCCAGATTCCCAATATTATACCTATATGCGTTATCCTCAACAGTATACCTATATGCGCTACCAGTTTTCGCCCAGCAGTGCGAATTATCTCCTCCATCAGCTCCTTCATTTTAGATTAATCAAGCGCATAATCATATAGGCGACCCTACTCAAGTTGATGGTCAGATTCGCCACGGCGAAGCTAGTGGAACGGTGGTATACAGTTTTTTCAAAGCACTTCCATGGCTACACACCATTTCATGTTTCGAGCTATTTTTGCTGCATTTCCACCGAGCTGGAAATTGTAATGTAATTTAGTCAAATTTGCTGGTTTGATACATCCATTTCTCAACTGAAGATTCATCTAGAAGTTTGAACACTAGCACGCAGAAATACTGTGAGAAAGCGCGAGAAATAACTTTTCCAAACGCATGTTTTATACAAGCGCAATCCACACCAACGAATGTCGCAAAGAAAAAATTTGCGCAGAAAAAGCAGTATTGCCAAGTTGACATTATTTTTGGACAACCTGACATATAGTACGGATTTCATTGAATAAATTGTTCACGTAATTTTTTACTTGCTTTTAAATTCCAGTCGTTTTCTTCCAGGTTTACAACTGCTATATGGAGCTAGTTGCACACCGGTTGATTGATGATTTTAGTAAACACTACTGGGTCCATGTGTATGCCTTCAATTACTATGAGAGGTAGCACTGTTCCTTACAAGTTTCAGTGTCACGTCGCACAGTAGTCAACTTTTCTTTTATATAGCCCAATTGTCAACCTTACCAAATGGCGGCTTAAAGTGAGGAGAGCAACCGAAATCTGGCTGAGGACTCCTTCTCAATATCAGCCTGTGAGATTTGACTTTCTGAGTGTAGATCAGGAAAACCTCTGCCAACGGCGGAATGACTACTAGTTTTCGTTGCGATTCGTAAAACATATGATGGGTGCGCAAGGACACTGTTCACGGCAACCTGGTTATCCTGACTGACACCATTCACACACCACTTCTAATTTCTTTAGTTTTTATAACTTATACTTTTATAGCTTCTCTATCCAAACTCACAATTCATGGGCTGTGCAGCTAAACTCGAGAAAAAGCCTGACAAGATGTATTTCAAATTACTGTGCGCAATGGACCAGATGAGGTTTGTGATGACGGTTTGGAGCCTCCAGCACAAAATAATGTGGATAGTTCCCAGAACCACGGGTCAGACCGTGCAAAAAGGACGAAGATTGCAGACCACTTGGCTTCAATTTGAAATGCAGATGAAGATTTTAAAATGAAAATGAAGCATTAGGGTCAATCAAGCCATCTCTAAAGTCTTTAATTTCCAGAAACGTGTGGGATCCTCTCTTCCCAAAACCAACCGGGAGACCGTGCAAGAATGACGGAGATTGCAGACCGCTTGGCCGCAATTTGAGATGCGAGGCCAAATTGGGTCTCTGTTTTGCCCCATTTGATTCAAACTATTGGATTGCCTGAGCTGTTGGGAATCGTGTGAACTGTGTTGGTACATTTTGAAGCGAATTCATGTGTTATGTTATACCTTTCATACCGGTCCTTTTTTCTCTGTAATATGTGTTACAGTGCAGATTCTTTTTTTGCCAAAGACCATTTGTTAAAAGAATAGAGATTGCTGCGAGACCTGGATTAAAGGTCGTGTTTTGTTGTTCAGTTTGACCCTTTTTGGGTTTCTGTCTACAATACAGGGATGAAGAATTGGCGTTGATCGAACTCTCCTGAGATAAGCCACATTCTACTTCCACTCAGAGTTACAGCAGTAGCATTTCAGTGCAATTTGATCGATACAAAAATGCGAGACGGTTCGAAAGGCAAGCGGCCCTCGAGAATCCATCCCAGTCAGCGGACTCAAAAAGGCTGAGTTCTACCGAGAGGTTTGGGTGTCTAAGACGGAATTCCATCCGGGATCCACGTCCACTGTACTCGCGGTAAGAGGCGCCAATCGGCTACACAGCACCACCGCTTGTTTCTGCAAACCGACAATTTGTTTGACAATCGAGCTACAGCAGCCTTATTTGTCTTTCTACCCCCTCACTCCACCACGCTCCAATCAAGTGCCCAAGAATGTGATCCGAGGCTTTTTTTAATATTTCCATTTGTACTTTACAAGAAATACTATTACCATTCAGCGTCTGGTAAGCTTTCTTATGGTAAGAAATGAATACATGTAATTCACCAATATCGCTGGAATTCTGCCTTTCCCTGAATAAGAAATTGAGATTTTCACCTCGCCTTTGTGGAACGTGAACAGAGACACGGTGGCGTCCTGCGGTGTACCGAATAACCCTTCAATCCAATTCTGACTCCCTCTGCCCATCCCAAGTGCCATGTCTAGGTGCATAGCCAGCATCTGGGAAGTTTTTCGCCATTCTTGATGGTTCGAACCGTCTAAAACAGGTATTTCTAATGCTTTCGAGAGTAATTCTCGGAACTTCTTGTCACTCATCATCATTTGTTGCAGCTCGTTTTCGATGTTCATTATCTGAGATGTCGCAAATGAAAGAAGAGCTCCACATGGGATATTCCTCATCCCACATAGAAGCTCATGTTCGAATTAGATTCTTTTCATTTTGTACACTTGAAAATTTCGCAACCAATTCCAGGCAACATTTGCCCGTGCAGTGCACTTTATAAAGAGCGTTGATGTTGTACATATTTGATCATGCAACGCCGCAGGCAGAAGGACGTAAATTCAGAAGTCATCAAAATCAACAATACAAGTAGAGCCAGTAAAGCGGGCGTACACAGAGTAGCAGTTATTTCGCAAGTACACAGTTTGACCCGTTTAATAACTGAAAGACTTTGATGAATCGAAATTGATAGACTTCATCGCAACTAACATGTTTGTCGGAGCGACAACAGTTTCTGACAGCCCCTCGCACGATTCTAGAGGAGCTCTGTTAGTGGGTGTATCACAAGAGAATCATCAATCATAGGCTATGCGTTAGGATAGCAGCATTGATTCGCTTTGAATCTGACGTGACCCCTTAATACATACCGAGCTGGGCGACGTCATTCAATCGTCAGCTAACGGTACCGCGACGATACAGCGACGTGCTGCGGCATTAGTGTGGGGATTCTGTGAGACCTTGGCTAATTATACATTCATGTCATAGATTCCGGAGGAAGCCTAGATACCTGATAACAAGCGAAAAGCCAGACATCAGCGAACAAACCTTTCAAATTAAGATCACGCAGTGTTCAGGCTCACAGCGCAAGCTTAGTAACCACTAAAGCTGCCTTAATTGAAATTTAAATTTGTACTTTTTTTACATCTGCCTGAATTCTCTATCAGACAATCATAATTTCGATGCAGGATATGTGTGAATGAAGACTCTTTTTTCTTATAAAACTTTACTGATAACGTTTCGGGCATAAGCCCTTCTTCAGATCAACTGAAAAACATTGCACATACAATTCAACACAACAAACATTGTTAAACAGCAAGTGCATCCTACCTATGCCGTCCTACAGTAAAGGAGGGGGAGAGGGGAGGACGGGATGGTTGAGAACGGAAGAATGAGGAGGTATGCTACGTGGGCTTTGAGGTTAGAGAAGAAAGATCTCTCATTTCCGAACCTCCTCTCGCACGTCGCGCCAGCTCACATTTCTATAAGTCTCATTGCCATCTTCATTTCCTCCTTGTTGTTGATCGGTGGTGCACATTGCTTTATTTCCAATGCTTCCCTTATCTTTCGCTCGACCGGATCAACTATATTCCTGAAGAGAATGACAACACGAAGTTCCGGTGGCCTTTCTTGTGCGTGTCGAAGTGTGCGGTGTTTTGAGAATGGACTCTCTGGGTAGTTTTGAGGACTACGCAGGGCTCTTATGTGCTCGTCCATTCTCTTGTAGAGTGGCCTTCCCGTTTCTCCAATGTAACAATCTCCGCAACCGAGGCACTCCACCTTATACACAACACACCTCATCTGGCACACCTTCTGCTCCCCACAGATCGTGCAGTTTGTTCGTTCGCACCGATTCTCATATGGACGTGATGATGTCAGAATGCGTCGTAGCGAAGGTGGTGGTCGGAACACCAAGTTTATTGGGAGTCCTGATCTTCTTACAACGCGGTCTATGTCCATAGCGAACTCATCGGTGATAAAGGGTAGTAAGAGAGGGGTGCCAGATGGTGATCGACACGGTTTCCAAGTACGGTGTTGTCCTCTTTTATAACCGTTTTGCCGCAATATTTCATCCACTTCGGTCATCACCTCTTGAACGTTCACGGAAGTCAGGTTACATGATGTCGAGATCATGTGATGAACGACATTCAGTTTCATGTGGAGAGGGTGGCAGCTACGGGCGTGTATCAAGATGTTACGAGATGCCCCTTTCTTATACCACATTGCACTGATTTGACCGTCCATGATTCTGACTTTCGTGTTTAAAAATGGTAGAAATCCGTCTGGCGAAGGTTCTTCCGATGTCAGTTGTATCGACTCATGCGCTGAATTCAACTTAGAAAACGTCTCTCGCAAAGCAGCTCTTGTTTTGCCGACGATAAAGATGTCATCGATGTATCGTCCAAAATATAATATTCCTGATGACAGAGCTTGTCGTTCAAGGCTATCCATGAACACAATCGCGAGCAACGGAGCCAGTCTGCTTCCCATAGCGAGTCCTCGTTTCTGCTTATAAAATCGATTCCGGAAACGGAATATATTCACTTCCACCACTGTCCGTAGAAGCTCTTCATGTCGTTGATATTGAGGTCAAAAAGCTGAAGTTCTTGATGATGTAGGCGTAAAAGACGAATGCAAGACTCCACAGCTCTTTGCGTATCAACGTTCGTGTATAGAGCTACAACATCAAAACTTTGGTATACCAGTCGTGGTTTGTTGTTGAAATTACATAACTGTCTCATTGCTCCAGGAATTGTCTTACATTCTGAGATGGGAAGAGACATGTTGAAGCAGTGGGCAGAGGATCCGTTGTAAGAACCAGCTGATTCTGTCTGTCGGTCCGCCACAGGATGCAACTATTGGCCTTGTCTTGATGGACGTAGTGTCCACAGTACCATCGAGCTCGCTCCGAACCAACTTATGGGTCTTGACCAATTGATAATAAGTTGGTGTGCTTGTGTGCTTCGGCATCAATTGGGCCAAAATGTTCTTTTCAAGCTTTGGACCAAGTATCCTTGTGACAACTTCTTCAAGATTCTTGCACTCTCGTTTATAATGTTCGGCAGTGACCACTGTATAGGTTGTGGCATCTGACAGAACAGTTTCGCATAAAGAGATGTCCCTTTCTTGCGACATCACAACAAAGCCACCGCACTTATCTCCAACTGAAAACCGCAACGACCTCTTCAAGTCAATGGCTTTTCTAAGACCTGCTCGCTCCATATGTGTCATATTGTCTGGAACTTGCCGTCTTCTATGTTCGTTGTATACTCGAAGAAGGTCCAGCTTGAGGGCGGCTATTCTCGAATTAAATTGTGGATCATGCTGTGGTGTGCTGACATGGATTCGAGGAAAGGCATTTCTCTACGAAGAGTTTCTTGAAGAGTCGGTACCGTGGGTCCAATTTGGTTTCCTCACAGCATTGACGTACAAACTCTTCTTACGCGCGTATAACGATGTCTCCTTTTGTATTTTTGTTTTTCTTCTTGGGAGCGCATCAGTGACTCGCAAGGCTCCTTCTTCATCGCTCGAGAAGCTCATGACCAGCCTTCTTCAACAAAGGTTTTCTCTTTAAAACTTCTTCCGACGCCCACCATCGCTACGTACTCATCTGACAATCATCACGTCCATATGAGAATCGGTGCGAACGAACAAACTGCACGATCTGTGGGGAGCAGAAGGTGTGCCAGATGAGGTGTGTTGTGTATAAGGTGGAGTGCCTCGGTTGCGGAGATTGTTACATTGGAGAAACGGGAAGGCCACTCTACAAGAGAATGGACGAGCACATAAGAGCCCTGCGTAGTCCTCAAAACTACCCAGAGAGTCCATTCTCAAAACACCGCACACTTCGACACGCACAAGAAAGGCCACCGGAACTTCGTGTTGTCATTCTCTTCAGGAATATAGTTGATCCGGTCGAGCGAAAGATAAAGGAAATCCTTACTATTTATAAAGCGCTAACTTTGTGTGTCGGTTTGTGTATCTGTATGTGTGTGTGTGTGTGTGTGTGTGTGTGTATGTGTGTCCGTCCGCAAAATGAAGTGAGTGAGAAGGAAGCTCATGGGATAAACAAACCGCTAACAAATCGGGTAGCTTACAGGATTTGAGATATCAATGTTTTGTAGCAGGATAGTTGTGATAACACTCTTAGGGCTATATAAACACCTGCTTAGCACACTTCCGTTCATTCCACATGGTGCTGCAGTGGCAGCTGGAGGGCAGTGGAGAGAGGAAGGGAGGATGAGGAAGGGAAGCGAAAAATCTACCGTCATATCATGATTGTGTCCCTTCTACTGTATGAAACACCATTGTGTTGCATACGCGTCACTTCCA